TGCCTATCCTACGTAGGTGCTTCTGGCTGTGCTTCTTGGTGTCTGAGACTAATTGTGGTTAAGTGCTGGTGGACAATATCACTGGGTTGCAGGTGAGTGATACATATTTTATACTCCATGACTGTTACAGTGCTAACTATTCTTCCTCTACAGTTAGTATGTTTTACGATACCTGTTGCTTGCCGCTCCTTGCTGACAGTAGATGAAAGTTTCCTGGGAGAGATGGATGCCCCTTCTTTCGTGGATTACGGGTTGGGCGAACGTGACTGGCTGGGTATGTATACAACCCCCTTTTATACGTACAGCTGCTAATTCTTACAGGTTGCCCTGACCGCAACTGGAGGTCTTCTTGGAAGTGAACTGATTTTGGGTGTTATCTCGTTGATGCATCCTGTAAGTCCCTTTCTATCATTTTGACCTCGACAGTTACTCACAACTCAATAGTCGTATGTTTCGCAGCGCTGGCACCAGTTCCTGATCTACATCGCCTATAACATTATTGCATTCCTCATCAATGCCTTTATGGGCTCGCTTCTTCCCTTGGTTACTAAGGGTGCCTGTAAGTGAATTTATCTGCCTGGACATATGATCTTGAGCTGACATGTCTAGTTATCTGGTCCCTTACCGGCTTCACTATAATCTGCATCACTCTCTTAGCATGTGCATCGCCTAACTACAACTCCGGAGAGTAAGTAATACATCGGCTAATTGCTTCTATACGTTATGCTGATCAAATAGGTTCGTTTTTGGAGAATTCATCAACGAAACAGGATGTATGGCAGACTACACCCCTTATTGATCGGTCAAGGCTAACAGCTTTTAGGGCCCGATGGACTTGCTTGGCTGCTCGGAGTATGTTTTGCTACCTAAATTCTATGAAGTTTGTTACTCATACCATGTAGCTCCTTCAAGGTGGACTGGGTCTCACAGGCTTTGTAAGTCTTCTGCTCTCTATTGCACAACACTGTACTAATTTCTAATCAGGACGGTGTCGCACACATGATCGAAGGTAAATCTGCCGACATTACTGGCGTTATCACATACTGAACATTCATAGAAATTCCAAACCCCTCGGTGGTAGGGCCCAAGATCATGATCGGTTGCGTCGGTATTGGAACCTTTACTGGCACAATCTTCTTGATTGTTCTCCTCTTTGTGGCTGGAAACATCTACGAAGATATCAACTCCGCGGCCACGCCTTTGCTGCAGATTTTCGTGAATGCGACGAGCAACAACGCCGGCGCCATCTGCCTTCTCGTGTAAGTTGTTCCTAAGATGTCGGCCCGCATTTACTGACATATTCAAGCTTCCCTCTCGTGTGTGTTCTCTTCGCTGCTATCACGATCATGACCACCAGCAGTCGTATGATCTACGCCTTTGCAAGAGATGGCGGTCTCCCCGCTTCTCCTTTCTTCAGCAAGGTGCACACCAAGCTGGAGGTTCCTCTGAATGCACTGTACCTTACCAACATTCTGGTCATTATTTTTGGGTGCATTTTCCTGGGCTCGTCTAGGTATGTAAACTGCAAAAAGTAAAAATACATATTGCGGTACGTTAACCTCTCAACAGTGCGTTCAACGCTATTGTGTCGGCTTCGGTTGTCATGCTTGATGTGGCGTACGGCATCCCTATTGCAGTGAACTGCATTCGCGGTCGGAAGATGCTACCGGAAAGGTCCTTTGTTTTGCCTAACGTCGTGGGCTGGATTGCAAACCTGGTACGTCTGACTGGGAAACTATTAATCCGTGAAATACTGACATGTTTCCTGGATAGATCTCGCTAGCTTACGTCTCTCTCACGACCGTGCTCTTCCTCTTCCCCCCTGACTACCCTGTGACTGGAAGCAACATGAGTAAGTTCGTCCTGGTATCCACTTGACCAAGTTTCTAACGCGTCCACTCTAGACTACTGTGTAGCCGTGTTTGGCATCGTTATGGTGGTGTCGATCTTCCAATGGTTTGTTGACGGACGTAAGAACTTCACTGGACCCCGGATGGATGTAGATATCATCAGTGGCCAGGTAGCCCCCGGTGAAGGCACCGATGAAGTCGTGGTGCCTACCAACTTCCATGAGAAATAAGCAGGTCGCAAATTGGCGAAATGGATGAACATGGGCCCGAGCACAGGTGCTCAGGCATTTTTGGAAACCTTTTTTGTATATAACACACGGCGTCTTGGAGCATAGAGTTTAGCCTGAATAGTCATTCACTCGAACCACTGGTGGCAGCCATCTCCGGTGAATGCAGCATGAATTGCGTCATATCCAGAGGCGGGAGATGGGCCGATCCCAACAACTCCAGATAACCGCTCCTCTTTTTCCCCACACTTCGGCTCACTTGCTCTTTGTTGACCTCGTGCACGCCTCGTGCTTCTCTACACGCGATTATCAGGGTAGATCTGAACTTGATAAGACCGATAAGGCTGCTACTCTGCCGATCTTCACGGTCTGAAGCGTGCATCTACTTGTCGAGTGAGTGATTCTTCGAGTGTCTCTCGGCGCCTTCGAAAACTGCCCGATCTCAACGCCAAGACCAGCCGCTCCAACGGCTCGTCAACAGATCGGGTTTACCGTGCTAGATAGCGATTAAGCTGTCTTTAGTCTCTGTTTCCCTCTCAACTGGAGTAAACATGTTTTCCTTTCTACCCCAGATCAGCAGAATATTCGGGGACCGCGTGTTATTCGCGCTGCCTCCTGTGAAGACTCAGGAAATTGATACGGCCCATGAAAAGCCCGCGCGCGCCCTGAAACATCTGCTGAAATTGAACCATGCCAACCATGCTATATTGTACAATGATCGAAAGTTTCATAATCATGCTCCGCACGTAAGTAGACTGCTATTTATTGGTTTGGATGCTGCTAACATGCACAGATTCTGAGCTCATCGTTCATGCAAGGTGCTGATGCGGATGACTTGCACCGTGTATATGAGGCAGAGTCCAAGCACCTGGAACCTTGGACTGATGCTCCTGGGGAAATTAGTGACTTTGATTGGAGAGATTTTCTGGGTTGCAGAGAGTAGGGCTCATTCTACAAACCTGACGACCACTCGCTAATATGCGTTCAATAGGTATCAACGTGCCTTTGTGGACTTCTTTGAAGATGAACTCGTCCGCCAGTCATACGACTGGAAGCAAGTAGTCAACGAGTACCTTTTCTCCGGAAAAGAGCCCATCTTCAACTCTATCATCGCTGATCGTACGTTGTGCAAGAAAAGCACCCCACTCAAAACACCTCACTAACCATCTACCGCAGTCGGCCACCCCCTAATCCACCTAGCATACGCCTTCGAATTCGCCAGCCGCGAAGTAGCCATGGAAGCCCTAGCCCTGACATCAACCTGCTACAGTGCGATTCACAAATACCTGGATGATCCATCCTACGCCCAAGCCGAATCCTCCTACCAGTCAACCTCCCTCTTCGACATCCTCGACAAAGTCCATCTCGACAAACAATTCAATGGCCTCTTCGGCACCCCCGGCGGCAACAACATGGACATTGTCTTCCGCGACCGCGAAGCCGCCCTGCTCAACCACTGGAACGCCTGGAAAATCCAAGACCCTATCGCCCAGTTCCGCGAGAGCCAGGAAGTCGCCGTCGCTATCCTGACCGGCACGCACTCGGACCGCACCAGCGAGCAATACGACTTTTTCTTCGTCCACATCCTCACTACCAGCCACGCTGTCCGCGTCTTACTCCCCCTCATCCCTCCCCAGTTCCAGCTCTCCCTGGTCAGACAGTGGTGGCTCATGACGCTGTGCGTTTACATTGCTCAGCTGCGTCCGAAGATCGACCTCGACCGGATTCGCAAGTATGATCTTGGTGGTCGTGATTGGAGCTGGACTGCTAAGAGGGCTGTGAAGAGTGAGCATTCCACTGATGCGCATTATGTGAAGGCCCTGCGCGCTTATAAGGAGTGTGCGGCTACGTGGGGCGATGCGGATGAGTTTTATCTCAAGGCGGCGGTGAGGTTCGGTGAGGAGTTTAATGGCTGGGGTGGGTTTGTTTGAGTTTGATTGATGGGTGTGGGATACGGAGAGCGGTTTGTTGGTGGTGTACTTGATATCTCTGCTCTTTTTATGTACTTGAAAAGTGATACTTAATAGGCTTGTGCAGAGTAATGGGAATTCTTTTCTCTGTTCTTGTATCGACTAATTGGATTCGATTAACATAACTGCCTCTATCTGCTCATTGAGTATCAGAATAATACTGAAGGATAGAAATCAGTATGTGTTAGTTGATAATAAAATGAAATTGTTATATTAGGAAGGAACTGCGCAAACATACAACGAGTGCCGTCTTAAGCATACCAGTAAGCAGGAGTAGCTACCCGACAGTTATTGAATTGGAAAAGTTGACTTTGCATCCCATCTTCTTCGCACCCTTTTGTACTCCTACTCTAGCACCCAACCCGATGGGCTACAATCATCCTCAGGGTGATGCATACGGTGAACAGTACTAAAGGGGCGTGATCCCTCCTACAAACAGGTATGGCCAGAAGGATTGCGCAAGCGTATACCATCATTCTTTATCTATGGTAAGTCTCCTATTTTGCCGTCCTTTTTATTCCGGACGGCTTTGTCTGCTGTTTTAAAAATTTCCAGTGGCCACCCACGGGGGCGATAAGGCTTGGGGAAAAAATGTCTAGTTTACTTGAGGAGCTATAGCAGTACCTGTGGCGCACGCGCCGGGCAACGTAAGTCGATGCCTTCCCCAGCAAGAGCTTAGCCCCAGCCTTCTTCCGTGCAGTTGGCCGATCCGCTGCCTTGACTGGAGCGCCAATAGAACAGCGTCAGCTGATGCATGAGTGCCCAATCAATGATCTATGCGCCAACAGAAAGCAGCTGGTCAAATGGGACGCTAGCTGCAAACGCGGCTGAGAATGACAGAAGAGAGCATTATTCTACTGTTTGTGAATCGATGGGATTGCAACTTGAAAAATCATTTCTTGCGGAGATATGTTCCCCTCCAGACATCGTCAATGTCGTTTTGAATACGGACGATGGATCCGCTCACTGCAGTAGGCCTAGCAAGCAATATCATCTCCTTCGTCGATTTTACAACCCAGGTGATTTCACGATGCGAGGAACTCTATCGGTCCGCTTCAGGGGCTACGGCGGAAAACCTAGAGCTAGAAGATCTCGCCACAAATATTCGTCGATTGGCTGAGGAAACGCAATCCACGAAGGAGGATGAGATACTCAAGAGCCTGAGTTCACAGTGTATCAGTGTATCTGATGAGCTTATCGCGCTTCTCAACTCGGTGAAGGTCAAGAGCGACCGGCGTGGATGGGCTAGCATCCACCAAGCGCTCAAATCGGTATGGAAGCAGAGCGATATTGATGATCTCCAGCAGAGATTGAACCAAATTCAAGCACAGCTTTACAATCGTTTGATTACTCACCAACAGCGAGAGATCGACTATAAGCTAGAACGTCTTATTGACGAGAATGAGCGCCTGGATATGAATCGGACCAAGGAGCTGGAAACGCTGAGAAATCAGATCACATCCGCCATACACGACATCATCAGTGATGTCCGGCAGGAGGGCCAGAAGACGCGAGCCTGGTCGGCGTTGTACGCTGGCGCACAGAAAGGGAAAGCGTACTCAACTGAGCAGCTCCTGCTGAACAGCCTTGTCTTCCGGCTGATCGACTATCGGTATCAAGCTATTTCGAAAGAACATGCAAGAACATTTGCCTGGGTCTTCGAGCAAGACACGGAACTGGATAGCACACTCCCACCTGTGAACTTCGTGGATTGGCTCCGACATGATAACGGGCTATATTGGATTTCGGGGAAGCCGGGCTCTGGAAAATCGACCCTCATGAAATTCCTGGCAAGACATGAGCAAACTCAAGAACACCTTAGCACATGGTCTGGAGGCAACAAACTTGTCCTAGCAAGTTTTTACTTCTGGAGCGCTGCCAAAAACACCCTGCAAAAGTCACAGACCGGCCTACTCCGGTCAATTCTCTACCAGATTTTACGTCAATGTCCAGAATTGATACGAGTCGCTTTTCCCGACCAGTGGAACCAGTCAATTTCCAGCGTTACGGGCTTAGCCGAGACACCCTTCAGCAGCCCAGAGCTGCTCGAAGCATTTGACAAGGTCACCACAGCCCTAGCAACCTACAAAATCCGATTCTGCTTCTTCATAGACGGGCTAGACGAGTATGAGGGCCGACCGGCAGACATTATTCAGCTAGTCGAATATTTGGAATCCTCACCCAACATCAAAGCTTGTGTTTCCAGTCGTCCATGGAACGAATTCGAATCCAGTTTTGGTAAACACAACCAGTGGAAACTGTACATTCACGACTTAACGCGGGAAGATATCCGTATATACGTTGAAGATAGACTTGGGAAACATGAACGATTCCGAGAGCTCCAAACATCTGACGATAACTGCCCCAATTTTGTGAAATCAGTTGTCGACGCAGCTCAGGGTGTCTTCCTCTGGGTATTTCTGGTGGTGAACTCGCTTCTGGATGGCCTCACCAACGCTGACACAGTCTCCCATCTACAAGAACGATTACTCGAATTCCCCCAGAGTCTGGATGAGTACTTCCAGAAAGCCCTGATGACTGTCGAGGAACGGTACCGCCCGCAAATGGCTCGGGCCCTCGCTGTCACTCTGGAAGCCGATGAGATTCTCCCTCTGATGTGCTACTGGTTTCTGGACCAAGACGTCCCTGACTATGCGCTTAATCTAGAGGTCAAACCGCTGAACCTGGAGATGGTAAGCGCACAGATGGAGCTCACGCGGACTCGACTGAACGCGTACTGCAAAGGGCTCCTCGAGGTACCATATCCCACAGAAAACAAAATTATCGAATTGAAATCGCCCATGTCTCTCTTCGGCTTCCACGTAGATTTCCTTCACAGAACCGTGCGAGACTTCCTCTGGACGCCGGGGATGCAAGATTTGCTCCGTACATGGCTGCCACATGATTTTAACCTTGATCTCGACATCTGCAAAGCCATTTCAGCTTTGATCAAGGTATCTATACGCAACGGTATAGAACCGTTTCATTCGGCCTCTGTTGCGAAGATCTTTAAAATCCTCTTCCGTCACATAGCGAGATTGGAAGGCGATACAGACTGCGAATACTCCCAATTCGCGCTGCTAAACGATTTGGCAACAGCTCTCCAGGTCCATATTGAGGATCGGGATCGGGATCGAGAAAAGGATCGGACCCATAACACGGACAATGACTATACTGTCCTCTCACGTCCCGGGCCTCTGGGACATCTAAAGCCGTTGAACGGAGAACTAACAATACTCAGCCAGTCGGTCCAAGCAGGCCTTGCTCGCTATACTGAGCATAAACTAAAGGAGAACCCATATCAGCTCCTGAAGTATTCTGAGTTCCTTCTGGAGGCAGCACTATTTCCCGCACAGGATCATGAGCCCGATAGCCTTAGTGCCCCGGATACCGCGATGCTCCAGCTACTTCTACGAAAAGGCGCTAACCCTAATAGCCCAGCAGCCAGCTCCCCCTGGGAAAGCTATCTAATGCGTTTGAAACAGTGCGAAGAAGATGGTTTAATGTCTAAGGATGATATCAACAATCACTACTCAGCTGTCCTGATGCTCTTAGAATATGGGGCTGATCCCGACACTCAGTGTTCAAATCAGTGGACGGCGGTCATGGTGCTGCAGGAACTGTTCTCTCCGGCGCAATACGCCTGCCTACAAAGGGTGATTGAAGATAGACAGCTAAATGAGAGAAATGGGAAATTTCATAGTGGGAATCAGAAAGGTAGTAGGAAGCAGCATGCGAAGCCTAAGGAGACGGGGAAACTCCACGTGGTTCGATCATTTCTTCGGGAATTGAGCCCTTTCCGTTCACGACGAAAGTCATCAGTTAACGGATGACCTACTGGGCTGAGATATAGAGAAAGTGGTTGATAGCATGAAGAGGAGGGTGTTGGTGTTACACATATAGTTAACCTTTTGCCTAAGGCATGTATATAGACAAACACTCACGTGAGCGCGCGTTCAGTTTGTCTCCTTTGCATCTCCACCTCCGCGGTCCTCTTTGTCTTCCATCCATTTGTTCTCGAAAAGCACAATATCCTACACAGAGAAAAGTAGTGCTCGCCAGACTAACTTATTACTAAATACAGTAACAGGGACACAAACTACAATGTCACAATTACTACAAGATGAACCACAACCTAACCAAACTCCATCCCTCCACCTACACGCCGAACTCCTCCCCAACATCCGCCAACTAACCCTCTACATTTCCGTCCCCCCAAACACTCCCCGCTCTGACCTGCAAATCAACCTCTCAGACTCGCGACGCGCAGTCACCGTAACAACCTCCTCCGATACCAATCAAGATGACCCCTCCTCAACCTCAGAAACAATCAAACTCCCTGCGCGCGTCAGCGAATCCTCCCGACGCATCCTCCAACAGCAGCCGCCCTCCACACAAAGCGAAAGTGAAAGTGAATACTCCTTCCGCATGCAAGTAGACGATAATGACACGTCCCTACACAAGGACGAAAGCACACTAAATGACGGGTTCATTCCCTGGACAGCGACGGACATGTCCGCGCATACACGCCTGCGGTGCGTCAAGTGCCATAACCCCATACTTAATGAGGGGAAAGTATGGAAAGACCTTCCCAGTGGGAATTGGGCTGAGATGATGGATTTCTGGCATTGTCATAAACCGGATCCGCCGGAGGAGGAGCGGAATAAAGATGGAGAAGATCCTAATGCGGTGGTGAAGGGGTATGGGGCTGGTAATCAGCTTGTTGCGGTCGAGGGGACGGTGTTGGTGGATGTTACGAGCTTTTTGGTGAAGGGTGTGGATTGTCTCGGTGTTGAGGAATCAAAGGTAAGGAGTTTTACGTTCATGTGTTTCTGGGTTGCATTGTTTGGGAGCATGGCTTTATAATAGAGGGTGGGATATGGGCAACAAGAAGGAGACCTTTTCAGTCAATGATGAGGCCTTCGATACAATTGCCCTATAACTACAGAGTCTTGGTCGGTCTGTATGGCCCGGCATGAACGAGTGCAGTGGCTGGTGCTGGGGCGCTGTGGGATAGATATCCTCTCTCGCAGATGGATTTCATCCTGTGGTCGTCTCAGCATGGGTCAGTGTAGCTTGGGTGCTCTGGTGCTGTGATCATGACTGCGCCTCGCTGTTTCTCCGTTGTCTTGGTCCAAAGTGATGGAGTCGACGCGATTATGCAGAGGTACATCTATCGTCTATACCAGTTAGCGTAGGCTCAAGATAATACATGTAGATAATCAAGCGTGTTATACATATATTGCCAGCCTATCTACATCTTCCACAGGCTAATGCCCTCCTCATAGGTCCCTCCCAGAGACTCAGCACCAACCCAGCCAGAACCAAAAATCCTAACCTGCACAACCTGCACCACCCAACTCGGCCTCCCCGACCCCATCGCCAACGGCTACCGACTCTTCAAAACCAGCCTATCGGCCAACCACTCCCCGAACCCTTCATCCTCATCCTCATCCCCACCCTCCGAAGAGACATCTACATGGGAATCCCACGCCCCGGAAACAATCCTCACCGCACAACTCCTCGAACTCATCGAACGCGAAAGCTACCGCCGATTCATCATCCACTGCGGAGCTACAGACGGACTTCTCGTAAGCCTAACCCCATACCCATTACCCTCAAATCCACAAAAGCTAATATAAAAGATATAGATATGGCCCTTCAACCCCTCCCTCCGATACTCCACGACCAGCGCATCGCACAGCACGGCGGCACAACTCGCCATGAAGGTATTCTACCAGCATATTGATAATGTTGAGGAGGTGTTGCATCCCGAGGCGGGGAAGGGAAGTCAGTCGTTGGCTATTGAGGAGGTGAGACTTCCTGGGGAGGAAGCGTATAGGGAGTTGGTGGGCGTGTTGGAGGAGAGGAATGGCATGTTACCGGCCTCGGCGAGGGTGTTTAGGGAGTGGAGGGTTGGGTTGTTGTGGAGGTTTGAGAGGAGGTAGTAAGTAGTAGGTCTTTCGATGGAGGAGGTGGAGGGGGGTGTTTGCTCCTTCCTGTTCGGGTTGGGGGTAGTGAAGTAGTGAATGGAGGGAACACTTACATTGGTTCCTACAGGAATAGTAAGAGTTGAGAGAGATTCTGAACTCACTCCAGAGTGGTGATAGCGTTCGTGCAGGTAAGATAATTAGTCTACTCTACTCTGTTCTATCTAGATTGGTCCTGTTTGGATTGTACATTATACTGACCGAATACTGCGTTCATAGATACATACACACTCCCACTCCAATCCACACTTTACAATCCTACAATCTCACTGTCTACACTCAGACAAAATCATAAGCAATGCCCACAATAACACCCCAACCTCAATCCCACCCTCGTTCCCCCTCCACCACCTCTGACGAAAACAACACCGTCACGTGGGAACACCTTGAACATGCTCCGCCGTCACTTTCAACTCAATCGATAAATACTACTGCTCGCAATAACGATAACCGGTCTACTGTGGACAACAATTGTGGAAGGGTTCTTAGGCCTGAAATGCATGCACTGTCTGAGGCGGTGCATGTTGAGGATGTGATGGGTATGGGTGACGGGACTGGAACTGGGACGGGGACGGGAATGGGGCCTGGGGCTGATAGGGCGCCGGCTATTAGGATTTATCCGCCTGGGGATACTGTGTCTACGTCTGCGTCTGGTGCGACTGGTGTGGTTGGTGTTAGGGGCGAGGAAAGGGGAGAAGGGTCTACGAAGTCTGCTTCTTTCTTTGGGAGATATGAGGGGTTGGGGAGGTGAATTGGGTGTTGATTCGTGATGAGGTTCGTGTTGCAGGGTGGTGAGAGCAGTGAAAGGGGATGTGTGCACTGCTGGGTTCAAACTTCTTGTGCTTGTGGTGTTACCAAGCGCTGCTATACATTTTACTAGTAGAAATGTCCTGGACGGGTGCACACAGTTGATAATAATCTGCTTAATTTCTGCTCTGTACTGTAAATCATATCTAGGCCAGTCCCGCTGCCATCGTGCACTTCATTAGTAGAAACTGTCGAGGCAGTGCGGCTAACCCTCAAACGGCGTCTCATATGGCGCTTCTGCCTGCGGAGTGATTCTCGCATGGTGTCGTCTCTGGCCGTCTTCCCAGTCGAAGAGGGCAGAGTGGGTAACAACGCGGTTCTATACTCGTTAGAATTGGTTCTTGTCGAGTAGGTGGGGAGGGTAGACTTACGTCCCAAACGACCACAGTTCCAGGACGCCATCTCACTCGCGTCTGAAGATCCTGGGAGAGAGCAATGTGGTCGTAGAGGAATCTGAGAAGGTAGTCGGACTCTTCCTTCTTGTAGCCGACGATGTAGCGGGTGACTGTTCTTGTTAATATCATAGGGTAGGAGTGAGATAATTATGAACTTACATTGGGGATTCACGAAGAGGGCTTTTTCTCCGGTCACCTGGATGATACTCTTAGAATAGATATTTGGAACAGTTTCGGGGTTGTGCATACCGGGTGAGTCCTGACAATCGGGTGCTCAGAAGTAATCGGATCCCGTCGAGCAATACCCCCCTTGTTCAGACTGTTGTTGACCTGCTCAATGCCAGAGTGAACTGCCTTCAGCCCGTGAAGTCTCTTACGGAACTCAGGCGATAGGCGTCTGTATGCCTGGGCCATGTCGGCGAACAGAGTGTCTCCACCGCTTGAGGGTCCGTCCAGGATGTACAGGAAGGTTGTGCCAGGAGGCTGCTTCTCGAAGGTCACGTCCGAGTGCCAGGTGATGGTGTTGGTACGTTGGGACAGGAATTCAGCTCCGCTTCTATCATCGGCACCTCTGTGTACGAGGTGGATCTCTGGGAAGCCCTTGGGTGCTCCAGAGGTCTGGTGGATGTGGTGTCTGCCAAAGTAGCCGCCGAATTCTAGGGCTTTCTCGATGGGCAGGTGTGCGAAGTCTTGGTCGCGGAATGCTGTATGGTTTGTTAATGGGAAGTCATCTCGGCTTGGAGAAGGGGATCGTACCAACAACCTTCCGCTGAGCTACGTACAAAGCCAGCTGGTCTTTTCCTTCCTTGGTCAGTTGGCTCAGCTGGACACCGCGGACTTCAGTGCCAATGGTAGGTGTGATGTCGTCCACTTCGGCTTTGTCCTTAGGAAGGAGGTCGGGGAAGGTCGGGTCGGCATCCTTTCCGTGGTCGTAGTGCTCAAAGGGCTGGAGGGGAGGGTATCTATGGTTGTCAGTGCGATGTGAGTAGATCTATGGATGGTATAGTTACCTTTCTGTTTCGTTGTCCCAGACAGGAAGATAGTTGGGGAAAGAAGCAGGCGGCTGCTTCTCAGTTCCCTTTAGCTCGTTCTCAAGCTTGTAAGCCTCTCCATAGCCAATCACATTCTCCTTATTGAAACCAGCATCGGTCTTAAGCGTAGTTTTAGGTGCCGCCCGAAGCGACAGAGGAGTTTCTTCAACCAGAGATGGGGCCATGTTGGATGTCTGCAGGTGCAACTATGACAGCTGTGCTGTTTTTATGGTGATATCTAGAACGCATCCTGCACCGAGAACATCATCCATATATATTCTGTTCCCCATTCCGAATATCCGTCTTTTGTCACGCAATTCCTGCGGGGTATGGATTGACGCCATTTCCCGGCTGTCAGGTATCACGGCAATACAGCAGTCGGATATGCTGGGAACTTGGACAAGGAGTTACGCGAGCCTCGGGAAGGTCGTGTAAGCCAGCATGACTCGCCGATCGGGCATGTCAATGGTGCAATGATAATGCAAGAAAGTTAAGACGTCAGTGCTGTGGTTATCAATCATTGTTTCACTCGAACCGAGCCAGGCTGCAGCCAACCAGATCTATGAATGACTGGAGAGATGCCCTTGACTATTTTTGGATATCCTGCGGACATAATCATTAAAGTCCATTTAAACCCAACATAGGTTCCTGTACTCTTCGCGTCGAGGGCGTGCTGCATTTAATGCAGTCAATGTAGTGCATGGGAGGAAGAGAAGAGGAGGTGGTTGCTGCTAGTAAAGCGGGCCAAGCATGGCGTGATAGTGCTGTTGCTTCGCGCAACTCGCCCTAACTAAGCTCGCCGGCAAGGCGACGTGCAATCCAGACTCATACCCCGCCTAAGGCTTTGTCTCCAAGATTTTATTGCATGTTAATCTGGGCCAGATTTATCTGGAAAATATGCTCAAGTGAGCTTTCTGCGCAAATTGTGAGGTGTTACTGGTACTGTTGTCTTGTCGCGATGAATCACATCAAAGTCCGCATATACCACATTTTGAATGCTCACCCTGAACTTTTGGAGACGATAAAAACTTGATAAAAACTCCATTCGTATCAGTTTCCCCCACCATAAGCGGCTTATCCTTGCAAATCAGCAGAAAAGACAATGTTGCGATGTCAAGCCCCTAGCATATCATCATAAGCCAATGCGATGATGACATCGCAGTTCTGGCGAACTTGATACAATCTCTGAACTATTATTGGCTCCTCTGCCATCAACTGCGGAGATCTGGAGCAGCCGCTAATCTCAGTCCCGGCACTTGTCCGCTTAACCTTACTTGTTCCTCATAACGTCAGTTATGCTCCCCTTGCGTGATTTCATCCCCTGCCGGGACTTTCGCGCAAGATCGGGCAAGTCTCCAGCACTAACAAGCACTTCGGCAAGTAAAGCCATATCAGATTCTGCGGCCCTTGAATCATGGAATATCAGTCTTTAGGCACTTCTCGGCCGTAGTTGACGTTGGCCCCATTCCGCCAACCATTTCATGTCGCACATCGATGCGCTCAACGTTCTAGGTTGCTGAACCTTACCCACTCATGCGACAATTGGCTACGTATAGCTACCCACAGCTCTCGTGCTAACAACTAGCACATCGTGCTGACACTTTAACAAAAAATTGCGTGATGAAGTTCGACGCCTGTTTATCGCTGATGGACACGTCAAAAAGGCCCGATGTCCCCTGAGTCGCTGATTATTTCTTGAACTCAACCACCCGAAGCTGGTCCTTCACTATCATTCTGCCTCTCACCACCTTGCTATACAGGCGAGATGACCACAGACGGTGTCAAGGAAGTCCCCGCGGACACGGCCTCCGTAAATGAGGACACCAAGAAGAACCCTGATGTCTCGACATCATCGGCATCGTCATCCTCACTTACGGACTCGGAACACAGAGTCGCAAAGGTGACTGACTGCGCCTTCGATACAACGGAAGACCCTAGGTTTTACAAGCCGATTCCCGAGTATGAGAGCGCGCATCGCTGGGATCCATACTTTGAATGGACGGAAGAGGAAGAAAAGGCACTAATCAAGAAGGTAACTACCATCCCCTAGCCTATATTCAGAAACATAGCTAATGGCAACAGATTGACATCCGAGTTTGTACTTTCGCATGCGTTACCTTTTTCGCACTTCAGCTTGACAGAGGCAACATTGTGCAAGCAAACTCGGACAGCATGCTGGGGGACCTCGGAATGACCACGAACGATTACAACACCGGACAAACAATTTTCTACCTCACTTTCCTCTTTTCTGAGCTTCCTTCGCAGTTGCTGTCTAAGAAGGTCGGTCCGGACCGCTGGATTCCCATTCAAATGGTCGCTTGGAGTTTCGTCGCAGCATTCCAGGCATTTCTCAAGAACAAGGCCGGGTATTTCGCCTGCAGAGCGCTTCTCGGTCTCCTGGAGGGAGGATTGTAAGTCTTCCTACACCGTCCTACTTGGGGTATGAGTTTTCTAACAGCTTCTAGCATTGCCGACACTATCCTCTTCCTGTCCTTCTTCTACAAGTCCAAAGAGCTGCCGCAACGGTTGAGTTACTTCTGGGTTTCTTACGAAGCCACATCGATCGTCGGCGCTTTTCTGGCGTTCGGCTTCCTCCACATCCACGGCTCTGACGGTTATACTGGAGGATGGCGCTATCTATTCGCTTTTGAGGGTCTTATTACAGGAATCATCGGAATCATCGCCGCGTTCTGGATGCCTGCATCTCCCACCCAGACTAAAGGCGGTTTCCGCGGTAAAGACGGTTGGTTCAACGAGCGCGAGGAGAAGATCCTTGTCAACCGTGTACTCCGTGACGATCCCAGCAAGGGAAGCATGCACAACCGTCAGGCGGTCACACCGAAGATGCTTTGGCATGCTCTGTGCGACTACGACATGTGGCCCATCTACCTGCTTGGTCTGACGTGGATGATTCCCAACACACCTGCTACCAACTACATTACCCTGGAGTTGAAGTCGCTTGGGTTCGGCACCTTCGAGACGAACCTCCTGACCATCCCCGCATATGTCATCTTCATTATCAACCTACTGTTCTGGACATGGATCTCAGAACGCTTCAACCAGCGTCTACTTCTCGGTGTCGTCTCTGAATTCTGGTGTTTGGTCTTGCTCATCGCGCTCGAAGTCCTGCCAGATGGAGCCAGTGGATGGGCACGGTGGATCATCAATGCTCTCTTGATTGGAGCCCCTTATGTACACGCAATCATTGTGGCCATGACATCTAGAAACGCGGGCTCGGTCCGCACACGCACTGTTGCGAGCGCGGTATATAACATGATGGTCCAGGCCTCGAGTATCATTGCCAGTCAGGTACGTGAGATACTACCCCACATTATGGCTCACTACTAACCCCTTGCAGATTTATCAAGACAAAGACAAGCCTTACTACCGTGTGGGTAATAAGGTTCTCATTGCCATCTCTGTGTTCAGCATGGCTTTATTCATTGGGGCCAAATTTTATTACATCTGGCGCAACAAGTATGGCTCACCAATTCTCCGATAGTAACGACTACAATGCTAACTGTGCTGCTAGGTACAACGCTGCCCGCTGGAGTGCCATGTCCAGTGAAGAGAGGGAGGAATATCTGGCAGCTAATAAGGATCTTGGAAACAAGCGGTGAGTCTTCCTCCGGCAAGGTTGCCTGATAATCTGTCTAATTGATCGCCTTGCAGACTCGATTTCCGGTTTACTCACTAGATGAGCATGATTAATGATTGATTATATTATACAACTAAAACATAGATGACCAACTGCATATATGGAAAATTGGTGGACGCCCCGCGGGATACCCTGAAGTCTATAGATTAGACGATAGAGCAAATTCATAATACAACACTTCGCTCAAGTGATCATAAACCGTAAGAAACAAGCCGTAATTCATGTCCACTCGTGCCTATTCTCCAATGACATACTCGCATCCACTGTCTCCAATCCACACCTCATGCAACTTGCCCGCCGGAACATCCAGTCGTGCACCAACACCGAATGTCTCTTTTTTTACCTCCCCATTATGCAGCTTAGCATTGTCGTCCGGGTAGGTGATTGTCAAACTCCCTTGGCGTATTAGATGCGTTGTGACACCACCGTGTGAGTGTGGTGGATAATGAGCATTGCTAGGACAGTATTAGCTCCACGAGTAGATGAATTATGGTAACTCCTATGCACAAAATGATGATATAGATCAACGCACCAAGAGGTACATAGTACAACAACCATGGTTTCTATCTACTCACCTTCCGTCTGCCCAAGTAAAGACATGCTTGAAGCCCCAGTCCTTGACTAGACGTTCGCATTCTTTGCGTGTACCAATGGGGTATGTTTCCGCCATTGTGCTTCTTTAACTAGCACAACCCGGTTATAGGAGGATAATGTTGAGGGAGATAGATATTCTGGAAGCTGTATAGAAGTGTTGGTGATGCGGGGAATACAGCGATGACGTCGATAAGATTAGTAATTCATGGCAGGTGAGATGCTTGTTGATGGTCACGTGGAGGGAGTATCTTGTTTGATTCTATTTGTCGATGGTGCTTGCTTGGCTGGACATACTACTGAGTAGATTCACGACTGCCACTATGCGTTCTAGAGGCATTGACCAACATAGCAATGGCCAACTGCGCCATTGAATGTGTCAATGCTAAGGCATTCTCTTTGCTCCAACATCATCAAAGATTTTACTTTTGCTGAAAGAAAAGAAGACCCAGTTTCTCTGTTACACTATACGAGAGTCCCTCGTTAATTTATAGTGGCAGGCGCCCGAGAAGCGACTGACAACAACATACACCGTCAATAAAGCAACGACTGGGCACCAATAGGTCTTTAAAGCCTTCCAAGGGACAAACCTAACCTCACGAGACATGGCTTCTTACACAAATGCCTTACTAAGGCTGAAACAGTCGGAGAAAAGTCAATAACCGGACGAAATACTACTGCAAGCGACACGGGATGGTATGGCGCGGTTCTCCCCCGAGGGCGTTAGATTAACGCTAGTCCACTTAGCCTACGCCAACGCCTTAGCTCCAGAACGCCAGGTGGGTCAAGCTTGATAGTGGAACACCCAGGATTTGATGAAGCTCCTCTTATCGCAGCCAACCCAAGGCGAATTGGAGCCAGCTGTATCTGGCTACTGAAGCTTCTCACCCGCATCGATGGCTTCTAGGCCACCCCTACCCCCTGTCGATGACTGAG